AAAAAAAAAAACAAGTAAGATTCTGGCATGTAGTAGGTACCCTGCAAATATTAGCTTAGTGGGATACATGAATTAGTAAAAAATGGCCCAAGTAAATAAACCTGCGAGGAGAAAGTGATTTTAGAGACCATTTAGTCCTTCCCCGAGAAGGCAGACGTCTTCCCTGCAGCAGCCCAGCTGAGCACCTCCTCAGCCTCGGGGCCGGGGAGCTCATCACCTGGCCTTCTGGGCAGCACAGCTCTCAGAGGGAGCAGGGCTCAACCTATGGTCCTGCTGGAGCTGAGAGGTCAGACCTGGGGGCCTCATGCCCCTCTACGCCTCCCATGTGCCCAGAGGGGAAGGGGTCTGCATTTCCCAGGCCTCCCTGTTGAGGGGGGTGGGAGCAAGCAGAGTGAGTGTCAGATAGAGGTCCCCAAGTCCTGGTGGAAGTTCTGGAGTCAGACTGCCTGGGTATGACCTCGGACAAGCTACTTAACCCCTCTGAGCCTTATCTGTAAAACAGGTGTTAAAAGGTAGCTCCTGCACTCAATAACAACAACAAAATAAAATAAACTATAAAAAAAAAGAAGAAAGAAATCAAAGAAGTCCTAAATAAATGGAGAAGCATACTGTGTTCAATTGGAAAGGCTCAGTTTAGTTAAGATGCTAATTTTGTCCAAATTGGTCTATAGATCATGTCAGCAGTGATCTCTGGAGGGTGTAGTTATGTAAATGGACTTTTTATTCTTCTACTTTTTTTTTTTTATTGTGCATTAGGTGAGAGTTTACTGAGCCGGTTAGATTCCCATTGGATAGTTTGTACATAAAGTGTTTCACGGCCTTGGTTTCATTTCCCACAAGGTGTCAGCACTCTCCCCATTTCCGCCCTGGGTTCCACGTTTCCTTTTGTCCTGATTTTCTACCGCTTTCTGCCTTCTCGTCTTTGCTTTTGGGTAAATATTGCCCTTTTAATCTCATATAATTGATTGTTCTAAGGAGCATATTCCTCTCAGGTGTTATTGTTTATTTTGTAGGCCTGTCTATTGTTTGGTTGGAAGGTGGTCTCCAGGAATGGCTTCAGTTCTAGGTTAGAATGGTGTTTTAGGGCTATAGTCTCAGGGGTTCTTCCAGTCTCTGTTAGGCCAGTACGTCTGGTCTTTTTCGTGAATTTGATTTTTTGTTCTATGTTTTTCTCACACTCTGTTTGGGACCCTCCGTTGTGATCCCAGTCAGAGCTGTCAGTAGTGGTAGCCGGGCACCATCTGGTTCTTCTGGTCTCAGGATCATGTAGGCTGTGGTTCATGTGGTCCATTAGTCCTTTGGACTAATTGCTCCCTTGAGTCTTTGGTTTTCTTCACTCTCCTTTGCTCTGGATGGGAAGAGACCAATAGTTGTATGTTAGATGGCCGATCGCAAGCTTGTAAGACCCCAGATGCTGTTCACCAAAGTAGGGTGCAAAACATTGTCTTTATGAACTGTGCTGTGCCAATTGACATAGATATCCCCCAAGTCTATAGTCTTTGCTTTGAGCCGTGAGGTGTTTTCTTACGTCTAAGAGGTTTACCTGACTGTGCCCCTTGTGTGCTCTGTTGTCTATGGGCCTTTTTATTATTTGTACTTTTTTTGTATTATTTGATTTAGTGTTAGCAATGAATATATTTACAAAATGGAAAATTCAGCAATAAAGCATCTCAACAAATTGATGACAATAACTTAGGGGGGAAGAAAAAGAAAAGTGGCTCCCATAAAGAGAAATGAAGTCCTGATGCATGTCCCAACATGGATGAACCTTAAAAAGTCACACAAGGATGAATCCTGTACGATCTCACTTATATGAAACAAGCAAATATATACCAAAAACCAATCAAACCCATTGTCAGTGAGTCAATTCTGACTCATAGTGACCCCGTAGGACAGAGCAGATGTGTCCCGTAGGGTTTCCAAGGATGTAATCTTCTCCCTACCCCCGACCCAAGGCTGTAATCTTTACGGAAGCAGACTGCAACAACTTTCTCCCGAGGAGTGTCTGGTGGGTTCCAACCGCCGAACTTTTGGTTAGCAGCCGAGCATTTAACCACTGAACAACCAGAGCTCCAGAAGCAAATATATAGAAAATAAAAAGTATTAGTGGTTACCATGGGTAGGAGGGAGAGGGAAAGAGGGAGTTTTGGCTTAGGGGGTGTTGAGTTTCTGTTAAGGGTGGTGGAATAATTTGGGCAAAGATAGTGAGAATGGTTGCACAACTTGAAGAATGTGATCGATGTCACAGAATTGTACATGGGGAAATGGATTAATTGGTGGGTTTTGTTGTCTATATTTTCACCACAATAAAAATAAAGAAAAGGAAAAGAAAAAAAAGGTGGTTCCCGCCTCACAGGGGCCTCACAGTTTGTAGTGAGGAGTCAATGAGATAATCCTCATAATGAGTTTAGCACAGTGCCTTGCTGACATGATTATAGCTGTCATTGTCACTGCTGCCATCAGATATCAGAGTTGCTTATTTATTGTTGTCTGTTATTGTTATAATTCTACTTTGTCTAACTCTTTGTCCTAGGGGTACTGGGCCAGGCCCTGGATTGTGGAGTCCGAGACACCAAGCCCCTAGCCCCACAAATGCTCCCAGGTGCCTGCTCTGGCAGTGTCCTGGACTTTGCTGATGCCGCATTGTTTTGCTGGCCCCATCCTGTTTCCTCTCCCTGGTCCCTGAAAGACAAGCTGGCAAAGGCTTCATCCTCAGTTAATAGATGACCCAAGGCACAGAGAGGTTAAGCAACTTCACCAAGTTCACTCAGTGAACCATCCCCAGCCCCAGCCCCTGATGTTCAATGGGTGATTCATATCACTTGCCATCACCCTGGGAGCAGGATGTGGGGTGGGGGGCAGTGGGACGTGAGTGGGGGACTCGGCAGCAGGTATCCATAAGTCACTGGCACTCCCTTGGTGTCCTTATCAGGGTGAATGGCATCTCCGGAGTCATGGGCACAGCCCTCAGGGCCCTGGGGAAACTCTGGGGCTTTAGGGGTCAGGCTGTCCTCCTGCAGACCCGCTGTTCTCTGGGACATTCCATTTCCCTCCTGGTGCCCCTTCCTCTGCTCAGACGGGGCAGCCCACAGCTTCCTGCTGGGCAGAGCAGAGGAAGCATTAGCTTGCCAAGGAGAAGAGGAGTGCGGGGTCCCTGGGTCTGGGCTGGCCTCCAGGGATGGGTCTGAGCTGAGGCCAACAGACAGAGAGCCCTGCCCACCTTCCCAGGGGATCAGAGCTCTTTAACACTTCACCCTACCTGGATTCATCCTCCCTCTCATCCGTTCATCTGTCCATCCATCCATCATCCCACTTCATCTCCCTGGCCTCATTTCTACCCTGATGCCTTTCCTTCAGCAATGCCAGCCTCCTCCTTGTTCCTTAAACCCACCAGGCACCTTCCCCCCAACCTCAGGGCCCTCGCATGTGCTGTTCCTTCTACCTGGAATGCTCTCACTCTAGACATCCCGATGGCCACCTCCCTCACCACCTCAGTCTGTGCTTAAGTCACCTTCTCAGAGAGAATGTAAAACGACCTCCTCCTCCCTCCTCTCTTTTGCCTCCCTCTGCTTGATCTTTCTGCATAGTTCTTACCCCTATATATATTTCATATTTATTTGTTTCTTGTCTATCTTCCCCCAGTTCTAAGTGGGCAGAGGTTTTCATGTTTTGTTCACTGCTGTATCCTCAGGGCCTAGAACAGTGCCTAACACACAGTAGGCCCTCAATAAACACTTGCTAAATGAATGGCTGAATGCATCCGTCTATCTGTCCTTCCATCTGTCTATCGTGCACTCTTTCTTCCCATGGCACACGGATGAGGAAAGAGATAATTCTGACACTGATCGCGGGTTGGGGAACCTCAGGGACTGTGGAGATACAGAGAGATGGGGGGAGATGAGGGAACGTTCCCAGAGTCTCCTCGGGGCCTAGCGCACAAAGGCACCTGATCCAAACTTTGTCAAGAGAATCAGCAACTGACTGATGGCTTCTTGGAAGAAGTGGCATTTCAGCGGGTGGATCTCAGTGTTGGAGGAATCAGGAGCTGGGGACGTTTAAAAACACACACGACTGGCTAGGCCACCTCGCTCCACTACTGCATGCCAGCATCTGAGGAATGGGTGGGAGGATGCGGGTGTTTTGAAAAGCTTCCCTCGAGAACAGCTGGTCTGAGGGGAGGCCTGAAGGTGGGGCAAGGGTCAGGCAGGTAAGGGTGGAGGCAAGTGTGGGGTGCTCTTCATGTGGATGGGAGGAGTGTGCCCAGGGCCTCAGGGAGAAGAGCCTCCTAAGCCCCTCCCCTTGGGCCTCTCCCAGGGCACCTGGCACAGCTGCCGTCACCCCCTCCCAGGATGGAGGCTCCCATCCCAGCCCTCCCCTTTGTCTGCCTCTTCCCCAGTGTGTCTTACAGGAGGCCGGACTTCAAGAAAACAGAGACTGTGTCCCCATCCCCCTGCGCCTCACCCCGCCCCTTGCTTCCTGCCTCCGTCGGTTGCTGGCTTGTTTTATTGCAGGCAGGTAAGTCTGGGCCCGGGATTCCAGAGGGGCCTGAGGTCAGGAGAAGGCAGGAGGGAATGCACAGAGTCGGCAGGTTATAGATTAGAAGGTGAGGGAAGACTTCAGCCGGCTTTCCTCCACACCCCGCAACAGACCTGGGGGGCCACAGAGGCTCAGAACTATTTGGTGACTCCCTCAGGTTCGCCCAGGAGCCAGGGGTGCGCCAGCAGACTTGCACCCCTGGATGGAGTTGCCAAAAGCCCATGAAGGGCTGAGGTGAGGGGAGGGGGTTACTCAGCACCCAAGGGGCCAGCTCAGCCTCCACAGGTAAATCCGGGGATAAAGAGGGCGGTGGCAGCTGCTGCTGTGGGGCCAGTCGGAAGTGCAGCTAGCAGGCGGGTGGAGCTGCACCTGGGACCGCCCCTCACCTGTGGCCACCGACTGGGACAAGCTCAGACTGGGTGCCCGAATGCCCTGGAAGGAGGTGGAAGGGGAGGAGGCAGCATCAACACAGTCCCGTAAGAACCCTGCCCAGACCCACAGGTAAGAGGCTGTTGTTCAGGGTTGGGGACAGGGGCGGGGAAGGTCAGCGGGGTGTGGCTCCCAGCCTGGCCCAGTTGACCTTGGCCAGCCTCTCAGGTCCAGTTCGATGCCATTGGGCACCTGTGGATGTGTGAGGCCTTGCCCTTGTCTGCTCGAGTTTCTGGGCATCTCCATGGAGAGGGCTGGATTTGGAGGCAGGGTGGTTTTAGGGTCTCCCCGTGCTGCTCAGAGTGAGGGCGCTGGGAAACTGGCGGGGTATGAGCATGCTCCCAGTGTCCAGAAGAGAAGGCTGCAGAGCGCCCAGGGCAAGGCCAGGCTGTTAACCCTGGGGCTCCGATGGGGAGGCAGGAGGCAGGGACCCAGTGCCTCCCGCCTGCTTTCTCCCCCAGTGCCGGGGGCCGGTTTGGGAGCAGGCTGGCCTGGGTTGTTTGACTTTTGACAAGGAAGAGAAGGCAGTCTCCCCTGGTGAGCCAAGTGCCCAGGGACGGGGTCCTCTGCCTCGCCCCAGCCCGTCACGGCCCTCTCGGCCCTGGCTGCAAGAGGCAGGAGTAAAAGTCAAACTGCCCCTCCACTGGCACCCCACCCCGCCCTGGGCCAGGCCTCTCTGGTGAGGCTCTAAATGGTGGCCGAGGACGCAGTGGGACAGGGGAGCCATCATGGAGAAAAGGCTTGGCTGTGCCACTGAGTCCTGTGGGAGCTAGGCCGGCCCCTTCCCCATCTGCACCACGAGGGAGATGGGGAAAAGCAGCGGTTTGAAAGTGAAAATCGGAGCAGTGGGCCCGTGCGAACCCAGTCTCACGGGTCCCACACACCAGCCAGACAGAGGTGGGTACCCGGCTGCAGCCGGAGGGAGCCTGGCGCCGTGCCTGCTCTGCCTCTCCCAGCTTAGCTCCCTGGGGCATGTGGGCAGCCAAATGGGCCCCCCACGTTCACTCTGTTAATTAGACGCCCCGGCTAATGAGTGGCTGCTGTTGTTGCTCCATTACACCTCCTAAGCCATCTGTGCCCCAGCACTTAGGGGGAGACCTCGGGGGCTCCCTGGCTCTGGGGGCTGAGGCACACGCAGAAAGCAGCACTTCTGGGAGACATTGCCGGGTGTTTCCTGGAGCAGGGGGATGGGTGCTGCTTGGGCTTTCCACAATGTCCTTTCAACTCCAGCGCCTTATTTTACTAAAATAAGAGAAGTGGCGGCAGCCTCGGCTTCCGGGTGAGGAAACTGAGGCACCCTTTTTATGACTCTTGAGGTGAGCCTCCTGCAGCCAACATTTTTGTTTTTTTAGATTCCTTGAATCTTTTTTTTTAATTGTTGTGCTTTAAGTGAAAGTTTACAATTCAAGTTAGTCTCTCATACAAAAATTTGTGCATACATTGTTTTGTGACCCTAGTTGCTCTCCCTATACTGTGACAGCACACTCCTCCTTTCCACCCCAGATTTCCCGTGTCCATTCATCCAGCTCCTGACCCTCTCTGCCTTCTCATCTCACCTCTGGACAGGAGCTGCCCATTTAGTCTCATGTATCTACTTGGGTGCAGCCAACATTTAACACAGCTCTGTACTGGCACGTGTGTGTGTGTGTGTGTGTGTGTGTGTGTGTGTGTGTGTGTGTGTGTGTGTGGGGGTGAAGGGCAAGGGCTGCATGGGGAGATCAA